TTTAGGAAAAGCTTTTTAACTTTTTTGAATTTTTTGTGAGAGAAAAGTATAATGATTATGGGTTGGATGTGATGTTTTATTAGTTATGGCTAAAATATCCTATTTTGTATTTTGTTGCTAAAATAGCCAAAAAAAAACCTATAAACCAACTTGCCAAACAGAGGCTATATGTCTATAAAAAATTACGTTGATCAGATATCGATAACTATCTCATCAGATCAAATTTCTGTCAACCATTTACTTTTTCACCATTTATTTATTTTTTATATAAAACTAATTTGATTACCTAACTATCGATATCCAATCAACATAAATTTTTATAGATATATAATACTTAACGAGTATATATATTGAACAGTTTAAATTATCAAAACGAAACTCATCATAGACCTCACGGATCTAAAAATATCCCCTAATCCAATCACGGATCAAAAAGAAGTCGGCCCCTTTTACAATCATCATGTTTACGTACTACATTGGATGTATCAAGTTCATATATACAGCAGATACTATAAAATAAACTATTTAAATATAAGAACAGGATCTGTAATTAATTGATTACACAAGACTACGACGATCAAATTCATATTTAAATTTAAGAAAAAACACAACTCATTAGAGTTTGTAAAATGATATCTAAGTCAGCTTTCTAAATCGTGTAGAAAAAAGATTGACTAATAATTAAAGAAAGTATAAGAAAAAAATATTTTAATAAATTGTTATATTATTAAGTTTAAAAATAGATCTAACATTCAGATTAAAATATTATTATTAGAAATTAGGGTAAATTATAAATACACTCTTGATATTTGTTTAAAGTACAGAATATCTCTTGTGATTTGAAAAATTACAAATACTTTTTTGTTAGAATTTTTTATTTAACAGAATTAATTAAAAAAAAATTCATAAATTTTCTCTTATACAATAATAAAATTACCTAAATTATTAATTAAAATATATTTGTAACATTATTAAAAATTATTAATTAACTTGATAATTTATTAATAAAAAGATCAATTTGTTATTAAATTAGAAACCTCATAAAGTGAAATATAATTTCAGGACAATAAGGGACTATTTATATTTTAATTAAACCAAAAAAAGTGTATATATAATTTAGGGTAAATTACATTGATACCCCTGAGGTTTATGTTTATTACAGCTTTCCCTTCACCTTTTGAAAATTACGTCTCCCTCTCTGAGATTTAAAGTTTCATTATAGATTACCTCCTGAAGTTTGAAGTTTCATAACAATTCCTCCCCTCACCGTAATGATCATCATACATAAAATTAAATTAACAGGGAATCAGTGTAATTTTCCAAATATTAAGAAAAAACTATAATAAACATAAATTTCAGAGATGTCAGTGTAATTTACCCTATAATTTACATTAAAAATTATATTAATAGTAGCCCCACGGTCCCCACTAGATCCTCCACACTTACAATTATGACCAACGCAGTTTCAAATTATCTCACCATCTATTCAGTTTTTTGATATTTTCCTAAATTATTAGGTGACGTTGGGTAAGTTCATACAGTATTTTAAATTAATTTTTATTTATTAAAATAATAAACTTTAACACTTTTTAATTTTATAAAATAGCATGACAAATTATATGAATCAATACTTCAAAACATTGGTGGTGGGTAAGTAGGGATGGCAATGGATAACCTCCACACTTACAATTATGACCAACGCAGTTTCAAATTATCTCACCATCTATTCAGTTTTTTGATATTTTCCTAAATTATTAGGTGACGTTGGGTAAGTTCATACAGTATTTTAAATTAATTTTTATTTATTAAAATAATAAACTTTAACACTTTTTGATTTTATAAAATAGCATGACAAATTATATGAATCAATACTTCAAAACATTGGTGGTGGGTAAGTCACAATGTATTTTAATTTAATTTTTATTTATTAAAGTAGTAAACTTTAACACTTTTTGATTTGATTTTTACAATATAGCATGACAAACTATATGAATCAATACTTCAAAATATTTCTATTAGGAGATATTATTTTTTATGCCTAGGAAAAATTCATGTAATGTTCCAATTTGATACTCATTGATTAAAATAATATGTTCAATAATTTTTGTTTATTTTTTTTATCAATGGATGATGGTGCGAAGAAATGCTCTAAAATCACCAAATAATGGTTCAGTTTAGAAATAGGTTATTTTAGTTAAATTTTTTTTACTATTTTAATTTGGCTAAAAAAACTATGTTTTGGATTATAATTATTTTTTTTATAATTAATTTGATGATTACGAGAGAAAATTGATTATCAATTGAATGTGATATTTTATCTTATTAATTATTTTACTCTAGGTTGTTTTGAGAAAGTGGTTAAAAACTAAATTTTAAATTTTTTTAAATTTTTTTTTTTGAAAAAATATGTAGAAAATAAAGAGATAATATAACTCAGAATAAATTAAAAGCCAAAATTTAATCTTAACCATATTTCTAAATTGGCTCTTTATTTTATTTTTATTCACTATTTCAACCACGTAGTCTCTAGCCAAACAAAGACCGATGACTAGGTAGACCAAACACATGATCCACCAGACCCTAGTAGATAAGATTCGTTTGCTAAAATGGTTGAAACTAATTTAACTCTTAAAAAATTTAAACACAAAAATTAATAAAATAAAATATTATATTTAAATTATAATTTTTTTTTTTTTTTCTCACAAAATTATAAATTTTTTTTTAAAATTCCTCCTAAATAAAAGAAAATTAATTAGATTGAAATAATTTAAAAAAATTAAAAAACCTTTCCTGCAGTTTTGATTAAAAAAAAAAAATTCCAAAACGAAGGCAATATTTGCACTACACCAAATAGAACTCCCTCTCAAATTAAATTTTTTTTTTTCTCTCTCTTCACTCATTTTCACTCGAGATTCCGAATAATTTTTTTTGTACGTGATAGTCTCTTTTATATTAGATATTTAAAAAATAATAAAACATATAAATATATGGAGTTGTTTGGAGTGTTCTAAATAAGTGTATTTTTTGACTTTTTAAACTAAAGAAGTTGAGAGAAAAAATATATAATTGTTTGGGATAATTTTTTTGACTTTTTATAAAAAAAAATGTGTATTAAAAAATTATATAAATTAGTATACAAGAAAATATTGAAATAACATAGGTTGTACGGTACGATGAGGTAAGAGACGGCGTGCAGCCTGCAGCCTAAAATGATGATTCCCTCCTTTTCGGCATTGAATGGACAGTGTTGTTCGGTTCGTGGAGACTCACCACGAGTTTTGTTTGCTAATCAGAACTGTTCAATATGTAGAACTTGTTGAGTATTATATGCTTGTGAAAAATCAAATTGATCGGATATCGATAGCTATCTGATCAGATATTTTTTTTTCAACTGTTTACTATAGCACCATCTATTTTGTTTATACAAAACTAATTTGATCATGTAATTAGAGATATCCGATTAATATAATTTTTTAGAAACTTATGGGTTCGTTTGGTTTGTATTTGTGAAAAAATTTTGAGAAATTTTCTCTACAAATAAGTTTTTAAAAGTAATCAAACCAAACAAATTTTTTCAAAAAAATTTCTCAAAACTTGTAAACCAAACAAGTTTTCCAAACAAATCTCTCTCTCACACACATCAAATCAATCACTTTTTCCAAAACTCTCTCTCAAAATAATTTTCCAAAACATCTTTTGAAAAAAACTAAACCAAACAACTTTTCGTACTTTTTATCTCTAAAACACATCTCTCAAACACAAACCAAACAAACACATAATACTCGACGATTTCTACACATTCAACGGTTCAGATTATCAAATTAGGACCTGTGATGGCCCCCCACGACCTGAACAGTACCGTCTTTACGCTTGCCTCTGCCTATGTAATTTATTTTCAACAAAGTCAGCAAAAGGAAACTCACGGCAGAGTGAGTTGTAGTTTTTTTTGTATAAAAATAATTTTTTTATAATTTTGTTTTTGATAAATAATAATAATTTTTTAACTTTTTTAATAATTTTTTATCTTTTTATCTTTTTTAAAAGATCGCAAACTAGGCTTTTTCACAATACTCATGTAAAACATTTTCTTCAATTAGTATCAAAATTAATTCAAAATTTTAATTTTATGAACACACCTTATCCTCCACAGACAAATTTTTTGATGTCACCCCCATACATCCCGGTATGGCAATTAAAATGAAAATCACATGTATATCGATATGTATTGATTCATAGTGGTGTTTTAGGAAGTTAATAAAAAGCTATTTTTTTTAATTTTTTTAACTATTTTATCTTTCTATAGATAAAAAATATAAAAGATGATGTGATTCAAAATAAATAAAAAATTAAAAATTGACATTTTTTTTTTCTTTTCAAAAGAACCATAGTATCTATGGTCATACTGGCCGTTTGTTTTGAGATGTAATAGATAAGAAGGGGGTAGAATGAATGTGGGGTTATTAGTATTGTATTTATTTGTAGAGCTTGGAAAGATATTAGCATGGAGAGGGGATTAAGATAGAAGTTGGAAGAGGAATTGGGATGGAGAAGGTAGAGGTGGAGGTGCTATTAGAAAAATAATGAAGGGATTAGAAATTTTTTATTTTTTATATATTGAGAATTTTTTTTAAATATTAATATTTTATATTTTATATTTTTTTATTATTTTATATAAAAATAATTTAATAATTCTTATACTAACAACTATCATCAAAACAAACACAATTTTATTTAAACCCTTCGCTGCCAATTCCTTTAGCCTGTGTTTGGCAAGTGGGTTTGCAGGCTTTTTTGGCTATTTTAGCCACAAAAAACAAAATAGGCTATTTTATCCATCCCAAATCAAACTTTTAAGCCCAGACTAAAATAGTCAAAAAAATCAAAAAGCCAAAAAGTCAACCCACTCCCCAAACGGATGCTTACTATCAAACAAACGGCCACAAAAATTTCTCCCAACTCCCACTTTCTTTCTACCTCTATAAATCCTTCCCGCATCCCTTCTCTCTCCTCATCCCATTTCTTTACTCTCTCTCTACAAAATACTTTTGCTTTCATTTCGTTCTCTCTCTCTCTTTCGCCCATATCTCAAGCTCTTTCCTTCTCTCTCTGTAATGGCGGAAACACCATTAAAACGCCAGAGAGAAGAAACCCATGTCGTAGAAGACGAAATAGAACAACAAGACCCAAAACGCCAGAAGTCCTTTACCCACATACTCTCTCTCCTCGAAGAGGAAGAAGATCACGAACCCCACCAAGACTTCTCTTCTATCCTCTCCACCCTCCAACAAGAGCTCTCCTGCTCCGACTCTGACCCTTTCTCTCTCCCCGGATCCGAGACCGACCCGGACAAAGATAACCCGGTTCCCTCTCATGGTGAAGATGATGAAGACGAGCGAGAGAGGGTGATGAGACACCTTCTCGAAGCCTCTGATGATGAGCTTGGTATACCCCACAGAATGGACGGTGGTGATGGTGATTATGGCCAGGTGACGGACGGTGGAGATGCGTTCGGGTTGTGGGAGTTGGAAGACGAGGCTGCGAATTACTACACCTTGTTGCAGGCTGAACTTTTCATGTAGGTCCTTCTGTTTGGGGGTTAGAGATAGAAAATGGGAAATATTGGGGGGCTTGAAAGAAAAAAGATGGAGGATGAAAAAAGAATGAAGGCGTTTTTTGGGGATTTCATTTTGGTGCCCTCATCTTTTGTAAAATTCGAAAAGTTTCCCCGTTTTCTCTTCTGAAATTATTTAGATTAAAAATTTAGGAGAAAAATGTTAGTTCACAATTTTTATTCCATTATTCCAATTTTTCTCTTTATGGAAATGGAAAAAGAGCAGGATTGAAATTAGTTATGACTCATTATTGTGTTTGGTTAAATTTTTAATTGACATTTAGAGTTGTTTTTGGAAAAGATGGATAAAAGTTTATTTTTAATTTTTTTATAATTTTTTTAAAATAAAAATATATAAAAAATATAAGAGATGTGATTTTGAAAGAGCCCTCACTTGCCGGATTGACGGACGGATGCGGATTGATTTTCTCCAATCCGCCAATCTGGCGGACGGATGGCGGATTGGAGGTTCCGTGGCCGCAACCGACCCGCGCCCACCCCTAATTGTTAGTTATGTTTTAAATAGGTTTAGTTAAGGTTTAATGTGATTATGGTTAATGACGAGACATTTATTGATATTTTTTTTTTTAATGTTGTGCTTAGTTTAAATTATTTTATTAAGTTTTATGAATTATTAAAATATTCTTAATAGTATATGAATATTTATATTGTAAAATATAAATATTTACATAATTAAATTGTTAAGGTAAAATTATTTATAAAATATTTTAAATATAATAATTAAAATTTTGTAAATTAAATGATTAAATAATAGAACTTTTTATAATACAAAAATAAGTTATAGACTAATTATGATATAAGTACTTAAAAAGAATTTTCTAATAAGGATTAAGATTTCCTCTTTTATAAAATGCTATAACAATATACGTCTCAAAGAATTTTATTTTTGTAAAAAAATAAATATATTTAGCCTTTTGTCTTTAACTTTATTCAAATTGTTCAAATTCAAAAAAATTTATGACTAAAATAGAGTAAATTATACTTTTACCCTTTCCATTTAGGCCTCGGAGAAATAGAATTTCAATGAGACTGTTTAAAAATAATTACATTATATGTAATAATATTTAAAGTGTATAGAAAACATTTGTACCTGCACAAGATAAGACTTGTACCCTGCAAATGGAGAAGTTATTGGTTTGGTCTTCGCCACCCCCGTCACTTGCTATTTCAATAGTGTTGTGATGGAGGAAGGATCTTCTAGAGTGATTTTTTTTAAAAATTTTTTAGAGTGTTATATTGTGTGGTTGAGATTTATTGACAAGTTACATCAATTAACACTTTAGGAAACTTTAGAAAAATTTCACTCTAGAAGATCCTTGGTGGTTGTGATGGATAGAGTGCGATGGAGCTGACAAATTTAATTAAGTAATTGAGAAATATAAAAGAATATAATAAATTGTAATTGGTAAAAGATAGGATTATGTGATTTTTGTGAACCAATCAATAATGTTTCCTTAAAAAAAAGATTAACTTGTGATTATTTTATAATTTTTAAAAAAATGACTTTACTTTGGTTCCAAGTAATAAATAATAATAACAATAATAATTAAAAAGATAGCCTAACTAAAAAGTAGTTTCTCTCGGGCCTCGTTTGGAAACTTTTTATTTTAGTCAAAAAGTCAAAAAGTTACTAAAAAAAAGTTAACAGCCCATACCAAAAAGTTAGAGATTATCTTTTCTCTCTACGTTTTGCACATCTTTTCGTAAAAAGCCAAAAAATCATCCCAAACATACTAGTTTTTTTTAGCTCATATTTTAGCCAAATAGCTACATTCTTCTCTCACAAAAAAACTCAAAAAAGCCAAAAAGTCAAAAAGTCCTTCCCAAACCAAGCTTTTAAGCCCAGGCTAAAATAGCCAAAAAAGCCGAAAAGTCAAAAACCCAACCCACTTCCCAAACGGAGGCTAAAAAAAAGTTAACAGCCCATACCAAAAAGTTAAAGATTATATTTTCTCTCTACGTTTTGCACATCTTTTCGTAAAAAGCCAAAAAGTCATCCCAAACATATTAGTTTTTTTTAGCTCATATTTTAGCCAAATAGCCAAAAAATTACTAAATTAGCCTGTTCCCAAACGGGGCCTCAATCATAATTTCTCCCATTACCAACTAAATTGTTTTGGGAGAATTACATATAAGTGGTAATTAAAAAAATTATTTACAAAAAAATAATAAATATTAATAATTATAAGTATAAATCTTTTTTGCAGTTATGTAATGTAATATTTTTCAAAAACCATGCTGAATAGTAATTTTTCCAATTTTTTTATTAAAAGATTTGAACCATTACTTTCCCTTCCTCTTATTATCTCCGTTTCTATAAGCACATTCTCATCTAAGGATGGGAATTTTTTACACGACACGATGATATGGTTCAAACCGTGCACAGTGGGTTAGAATTAATTATTTTTTGACATAAACACGTATATGACACGATCTAATAATACAAATATTAAGTAAGTTAGGTTTGTATCAAATTTGTATAACACGATATTGGCATGAATAACCTGTATAATGAAAAATTAATTACAAATTATTATATTATTTCCACTACTGAGTATCATAACATTTTTTAATCTCTTAGATAATTACATCAAATTTATTAAAAAGTACGTGAAATACGATTTTAAATTTAATATATGTTTTGTTTTTACTTTTAATTGAACCTAATATACCTTTTGTCTATTATTTGAGCTAATATAATAATAAAATATAATTTTTTTTAATTAAGAAAATAAAATTAAGTTGAAATCAAATATTTTTATAAATAATTCAATTTCACAGAGATTAGTTTTATTATATTTAATTTGTGAAGAAATTTTTAAATTTTTTTCATACATTTAATATTTTTAATTAATAATGAAATTTTTTGACATAATATGTTAACACGACATAAACCAAATACAAACAAAAATTAATTCGACATGATAATACAAAATAATAAATGGATCAGGTTAGTGTTAAAATAATTTTGACACATTTTAACACGAATCCAAATTGATACAACAACTATACAATCCAACATAATACAACACAACACAACACAACGCCCACTGCTATTCCCGTCATATTTCCCAGAGTAATGCTAGAGATACAAAAAATTTTACCAAATGAATGACCAAACCTCTCACATGGGTATGGTATGGGGTCCACTTTTTTATGGGCCTCACACTCATGTGAGAGGATTGGTCATTCATTTGGTAGAAAATTTGAGACCTATAGCATTTTCCTATTTCCCACGACCGACTACTCTTTCCTACACCCCATTCCTCCATGCTACAGCTAGCCACATTCCTTCTCCCAACAGGCCAACTGTAATTCTCTATTTAGTTTAATCATTCCTTAAACTCCTTTATGAAATAATAATTTTCTTAAAATGGTGTATGATAGAATAACCATTAAACATCAAAATAAATATTTTTGATAAAATAACCATTCCATTCCGCTTTATTCTAGTGAACCAAACACTACGTATGGGGTTAGCCTAGTAGCAAAGTCTAATTTTTGTTAGTGTAATTCTTATATGATCTCAGGTTCAAAATCTCTTAAGTGTATATAATTTTTTGAGGCTAGTCTATACAGAACTTATTCTGACTTTAATTGAGTCTCTGCTAATAGATCATAGTATTGATTCCCCAAATCAATCAATCCATTAAACTGGATACCGAATTGTTAATAAATTTAAAATAAAATAAAATAAAATAAAATAAAAGAACTAACTAACTAACTGACCAAGTGATTTTTGTTCTTTGAATGACACACACATCCTGCAAAATTTTAATTGGGGAAATAATAATTCAGTGTAAAAGTATATAGATTAAAAAAAAAAAAATTATACATCACTTGAAGACTTTATAAACATTAATAATAAAATTCTAATTTTTTTATGTATTTGTAATAAAAAAAAAATCAAAAAACCCCTGGGCTGTATTTTTCCCTTTTTAATTTCAACTGTCCAATATAAAATTGGTTTTTTGGGATCATGTGGGTTTGCGGTGGGGATGCTTTGGAATTAGGTTACCTTTAGATTTATTAATCAAAGTAAAATTAAATTTTTTGAGAACAAAGTGAAAAAACTTAATTTAGGAACAAATTATCTTTTAAAATTCTTAAACTGTCTCTTAATCATGATGAGAGTTGATAATTAGATCAAGTGAAAAGCGACTAATAATTTAGGAAACAAAATCAAAGAATCTCTTATTTAAGAATCAAAGTAGGAAATAACTCATACTTTGAAGTAAAAGTGTAATTTAAATTATATTTTTCATTTTTCTTTTTAACAAATTAATGTGGTATATAATAAATAAAATTTAATGTTTTGAAATGGGACCCAATAAATTGGCATGTCACACACCAATTTGTAAAGAAAGTTACAATATATATATATATATTACCAACTAAATTGTTTTGGGAGAATTACATATAAGTGGTAATTAAAAAAATTATTTACAAAAAAATAATAAATATTAATAATTATAATTATAAATCTTTTTTGCAGTTATGTAATGTAATATTTTTCAAAAACCATGCTGAATAGTAATTTTTCCAATTTTTTTATTAAAAGATTTGAACCATTACTTTCCCTTCCTCTTATTATCTCCGTTTCTATAAGCACATTCTCATCTAAGGATGGGAATTTTTTACACGACACGCTGATATGGTTCAAACCGTGCACAGTGGGTTAGAATTAATCATTTTTTGACATAAACACGTATATGACACGATCTAATAATACAAATATTAAGTAAGTTAGGTTTGTATCAAATTTGTATAACACGATATTGGCATGAATAACCTGTATAATGAAAAATTAATTACAAATTATTATATTATTTCCACTACTGAGTATCATAACATTTTTTAATCTCTTAGATAATTACATCAAATTTATTAAAAAGTACGTGAAATACGATTTTAAATTTAATATATGTTTTGTTTTTACTTTTAATTGAACCTAATATACCTTTTGTCTATTATTTGAGCTAATATAATAATAAAATATAATTTTTTTTAATTAAGAAAATAAAATTAAGTTGAAATCAAATATTTTTATAAATAATTCAATTTCACAGAGATTAGTTTTATTATATTTAATTTGTGAAGAAATTTTTAAATTTTTTTCATACATTTAATATTTTTAATTAATAATGAAATTTTTTGACATAATATGTTAACACGACATAAACCAAATACAAACAAAAATTAATTCGACATGATAATACAAAATAAT